GAAAAGCTAGACAATATTAGTAGACACACCAAAGAACCCCTTCTGTACTGAATATTTTGTTTGTTTGTTTCAGCAGGTTATGCTTCTTAAAATTCTACCATTTGGAGGTGCATTTGGATTTTGAAAGTCCTTTTTAATAAATGAGAATGTCTTTCCCCTTCTCATAGAGGTATTTTCATTTGTTAAAAAAATGTTTTCTCTCATATCCGCTTGAGAACATCTGTATTGAGGGAGGTGGACATTTCATTGGGTTGGAAGAGAGGGTAATATTTTGGAATACAGAGTACTTGGAGGAGGTAATAAAAGAGTAAGGAAGATAATTCACTGATCATTAATTTTATAAATATTATAGGTACTGTGCTTGGTGCTGAAAATGAGTGTATCAGATATGTTCTTTGCATTCCTGAACTTACTATTTGGTTGGGAAGGTTGGCATGTGGGATGAGCATTAAAAGGGAATGATAGATGCCATGAGTACATACAGATTGGACAGGAAGCCCCAATAAGGTGTTTTTTCTGATTTTGGTAGCCTTCTTAGAAGTTTATTAAGTTGTTGTAGCAACATGGACGGGACTGGAAGAGATTATGCTGAGTGAAATAAGTCAAGCAGAGAGAGTCAATTATCATATGGTTTCACTTATTTGTGGAGCATAACAAATAGCATGGAGGACAAGGGGAGATGGAGAGAAGAAAGGAGTTGAGGGAAATTGGAAGGGGAGGTGAACCATGAGAGACTATGGACTCTGAAAAACAATCTGAGGGTTTTGAAGGGGCAGGGGATGGGAGGTTGGGGGAACCAGGTGGTGGGTATTGGAGAGGGCACAGATTGCATGGAGCACTGGGTGTGGTGCAAAAACAATGAATACTGTTACGCTGAAAAGAAATTAAAAAAAAAAAAAGATTTATTAAGTTGGGGCGCCTGTGTGGCTCAGTCAATTAAACATCTGCCTTTGGGTTAGGTCATGATTCCAGGGTCCTGGGATTGAGCCCCGAGTCAGGCTCCCTGCTCAGTGGAAAGCCTGCTGCTCCCTCTTCCTCTTCCTGACACTCTGCTTACTTCTCGCTCGCTGTCAAGGAAATAAATAAAATCTTTAAAAAAGGGAAATCAGAAATTAAGTCATTGGATCATGAACCATCTCCATTTTAACTATTTAATCTTGGCTAATCGGTGGATATTCCTGGTAGCTGAAGATGGCAGCAAATTACAGGTGTTTATTTATTTAAACTTGTATCTTTATTTCCAGATTAGTTCAACAAAACAAGCATAGGACTGGCAGATTATGTTTTCGGGAGAGGGCATTGGAATGTTAAAATGCACTGAACTGAAGCAGATAGATAGTTTATATAGGTAGGGGAGTTGGGGATCTTTGTGTCTTGCTCGGTTGGATATGAAGAACTTTGGTCCCGGGGGATGCCAGGCTGGCTCAGTTGGTAGAACATGTGACTCTTGATCTCAGGGTCATGAGTTCAACCCCCACATTGTGCATGGAGCCTTCTTAAAAAAAAAAAACAAAACAAATTGGTCCTATAGAATTGACAAATCAAGGGAAATCAGAAGTCCCTGTAAAGGATCTATAGAGAGTATTAAATCTAGACCTTCATTTTTCAGTTTTGTAAGAAACTATGTAGATATTGGGAACTATCCACATGTTCTAAATATATTACATTAGAGGTTAATCATCAAACTTGAGCTGTTTGAAATCAGAGCATATTTTTAGAAAAGAGTTGGATATAATAAAGCAGAAATAATCTTGAATGTTGGACAGTCAGCCCATGCACATAATACTAATACTGAGCTACCTCTTTGTGCTGTGTGCTATATGAGGTGTTTTATATGTTTTTTCATTTAATTTTATCCTTAAAGATGCACTATAAGGTAGGTAGTATTAATATATTATCCTTATTTCACAAACAGGTAAACTAAAGCCCTAAGAGGTTAATATGTACAGGGATGCAAAATAAGTAGTTAAGTTATAACTAAATCTTGTTCTGATTTCAAAATGTACTTCAGGTTTATCTTTGGTATCTTCCAGCTTCTTGGTATCCTCTTCCTTATTTCTCTAGTATGTGGCAGTATACTGGTTAAATAGTGCATTTTGGAGTTCAGTCATGATACATTTGGTATAACTGTGGGCAAGAAGTTACTTTTCTAAGTCAAAGTCTTCCTTTTATGTAAAGTGGGAATAGTAATATTTCCCTCTTGGGGTTGTTGTGGGGTTTTAAGACAGAAATTTCAGAGACTACCTAATGTCTGGTACTTAGAAAGTTTAAATAAATTAGCTCTTATTATTTTCAGATGCTCATGACTGTCTTCAATCTAACTACTCAAAATCCTCTATTCCAGCTTATCATAAAGACCTGCCCTCTTTTCTGGGGTTTCATGTTCTCATGGCTTTAACTGTTTTCTGTATGCTGGTGATTGCCAAAACTGTGTGTCTATCTGAGGCCTCTTACCTGAGCAGAAGAACCATGTGCCCATTTGCCTTCCTAGATCTGCTCTGCCAAACAGAATAGCCATTCCCCCTCATAGCACATGCTGCTATTGAGCTATTGAAATGTGGTTAGTCTGAGTTACAATGTACTCTAACTATAAAATACACACTAGATTTTTTGAGACTAGTAAGTAAAAAAGAAATGTAAACTAGTTCATGATTATGTTGAGTATGTGTTGAAGTGGTAATTTTTTAATATATTGGGTTAAATAATTAACATTATTTTGACCTGTTTCTATTTTTAAAATGTGGCTACCAGGAAATTAGATATGTGACTGTGTTATATTTCTTTTTTAAAATTTTTTAAATTTTTAATTAACATATAATGTTATTATTTGCTTCAGGGGTACAGGTCTGTGAATTGTCAGTCGTGTACAATTCATAGTACTTTCAATAGCACATACCCTCCCCAATGTCCCTATCTATTATATTTCTATTGGACAGTGCTGTTCAAGATGTATTCACTTGTATATTCCTCAAGTGCCTTGAAATCAGCTAGTCCAAAACTGCCTACCCTCCCCATTCTCTTCTCCCTTTCAAAGTTCTGTTTTTCCTTCTATTCTTTTTTTTTTTTTTAAGGTTTTATTTATTTATTTGACAGAAAGAAAGAGAGCACAGCAGGGAGAGCAGCAGAAAGAGGGAGAGGGAGAAGCAGGCTCCCTACTGAGTAAGGAGCCCGATGCAGGGCTGATCCCAGGATCCTGGAATCATGACCTGAGCCAAAGGCAGATGCTTAACTGACTGAGCCACCCAGGCACCCCTTCCTTCTATTCTTTGTCTCAGGGGATAGCTCTGTTTATGCTCACAAAGTCAGAAGTTTTGGAGGTATCCTTACTCCTTGCAAAATCCTCTTGTTTCCACCTTTCTTTCTTTCTTCTTCTTTTTTTTTTAACATCCTAATTTTATTTTACTTTTTTCAGTGTTCCAAGATTCATTGTTTATGCACCATACCCAGTGCTCCATGCAATACGTGCCCTCCTTAATACCCACCACCAGGGTCACCCATCCTCCCACCCCCTCCTTTCTAGAACCCTCAGTTTGTTTCTCAGAGTCCACAGTCTCTCATGGTTCATCTCCCCCTCTGATTTCTCCCAACTCACTTCTCCTCTCCAAATCCCAGTGTCCTCCGTGTTATTCCTTATGCTCCACAGGTAAGTGAAACCATATGATAATTGACTTTCTCTGCTTGACTTACTTCACTTAGTATAATCTCCTCCATGTTGATACAAAGGTTGGGTATTCATCCTGTCCGATGGCTGTAATATTACATTGTATATATGGCCCACATCTTCTTCTTTTTTTTTTTTTTTAAAGATTTTATTTATTTATTTGACAGAGAGAGAGATCACAAGTAGGCAGAGAGGCAGGCAGAGAGTGAGAGAGGAGGAAGCAGGCTCCCTGCTAAGCAGAGAGCCCTATGCGGGGCTCGATCCCAGAACCCTGGGATCATGATCTGAGTCGAAGGCAGAGGCTTAACCCACTGAGCCACCCAGGCGCCGCTGGACCACATCTTCTTTATCCATTCATCTGTAGAAGGGCATCTCAGCTCTTTCCACAGTTTGGCAATTGTGGACATTGCTGCTACGAACATGGGGTACCTATGGCCCTTCTTTTCACTATATCTGTATCTTTAGGGTAAATACCCAGTAGTGCAATTGCAGGGTCATAAGGTAGCTCAATTTTAATTTTTTGAGGAATCTCCACACTGTTTTCCAAAGTTGCTGCACCAACTTGCATTCCCACCAACAATGTTAGAGGATCCCCCTTTCTCCACATCCTCTCCAACACTTGTTTCCTGTCCTGTTGATTTTTGCCATTCTAACTGGTGTAAGGTGGAATCTCAATGTGGTTTTAATTTGAATTTCCCTGATGGCTAGTGATGATGAACATTTTTTCATGTGTCTATTGGCCATTTGTATGTCTTCTTTGAAGAAGTGTCTGTTCATTTCTTCTGCGTATTTTTTGACATAATTATCTGTTTTTTGGGCATGGAGTTTGAGGAGTTCTTTATAGATCATTTCTTCCATTGTTTGTTTTAACTAGATGTGACTTTGTTTTGTATTTTACCCTTAACATTGTCAGGCTCTAATAATTACTTACTTGGGTTATTGTAAAAGATTAGTAATTGGTCTTCCTTCCTCCATTTCTCCACATTCCTGCCAGTGATTTTTCTGAAACACGAGATATTTGTCTTTCTCTTACTTGAAGTCCTTTAACTCTTTAGGATAAAGGTCAAATAAAGAATAAAAGCCAAACTCTTTAGCATACATAGAGGTTATCAATTGACCCCTGGTGGCTTATCATTTCTCTGGTGTCAGTAAGAACTATAGCTATTACCAATTGAATGACTCTTAATTTTTTATATTTTCAATAATCTAATTTGATGTATGTCTGTCAGTCTGAGTGGCTCCTTCACTCATACCTGTATACACAGTTTCAAAGATTGAATTCACAAGTTTACATGTAATTCTTGATTTCACAATTGTGGCTTTTAATTTATTTTTTTAGCGAGGATGAGGATGATGACCTTCAGTATGCTGATCATGATTATGAAGTACCACAACAAAAAGGATTGAAGAAACTCTGGAACAGAGTAAAATGGACAAGAGATGAGGTAATTATGTGATAACGCTTACTAATTTCATACTTGTATTTACTTGTTAATAATAATATTTAATAAAGATAGAAAGATACTGAAAAGCAAAACATGAGAAAAGTTATTCATCAACTAATGTGCACCTATTTTTCTTCCACCAGGGGTGTGAATAGCAGTTTGATGTTGAGACTGACAGAAAGAGTAGAGTAAATGGGAAAGCTTGTATTATAGTGGCTTGTCCTTCTACAGATGGCTGTCAGATATGACATGAAAGAATTGGAGAGTTATTGGTGGGGGAAGAAAGCTTTCTAATTTTCATTCCTGTTTTAATAGGATGATAAGTTAAAGAAGTTGGTTGAACAACATGGAACTGATGATTGGACTCTAATTGCTAGTCATCTTCAAGTAAGTCAACTATTATATTTATAACATGGATGATATAGGTCATTGGATTAAATTTGCTCTTTTTCAGAAATGTGTTTTTATTATTTTAGACTTAGGTTTCCTTGCTAAAAACATCTCTGTTGTTCTGATCTTCCTATAGTGTGACCAAAGATCAGAAAATCTGATTTTCTAATAATTAGTTTATATAGGGGCCTAAAAAGATTACTAATCTAAAATGAAAATGATGCTAAGTTTGGTTAGGGCTTTATAAATATTTGTTGATAAACATTAAAACATTTAAAAGAAGTTAAATACATTGAAATCTTTTGGCAGCTGATCAATAAAATCAGAAAAAGATCTTTTGGAAAAGTTTGTTATCTAATGTTTGCATTTTAAGGTGTTATTGATTTTTAAAAGAATTATACTTAATTGTTCATCGTACTATTCATATACTATTCATTAGTATGTAATTTTATAATTTACAAAGTGTTTTCACATACATTCCTTTTGTTCCTTACTACATTAAAGGCAAAATATTCATATTTGAATTTCTGTTTTGACTATACCGTGGGTTTCAGAAACCAGGTCACCCATGTTCTTTCTAAATTCTATGATGCTTTTCAACATAACCTGAAAATTGAGAACAGATAATGAAAAGAGCATAATTCTTGTTGTCAGTCTAAACTATATTTAAGTGTCAGCTCCATTAGCTGTTTGGTCTTAGAAAAATTATTTAACCTCTTTGATTTTCAGCTTCTTTATCTATAATATGGAAATAATAGTACTGTTTTTGTAGTATTGTTGTGAGAATTAGAAATAACATATATAGGATTTTGGCACATTCCCTGCCATTTAGCAGGTGTTCAGTAAATGCAAACTAAATTAGAAGTTATTTGTTTAGTTTTATCAGTTTATCTTCAGTGATATAGCAGCAAATGAAGGAAACAGAGAAATGCTACAGGACATGCAGAAACTGCCTGATTATTTTGAAGAAAATGATAGCCTTAAAGTGGATCAGCACTGATGTTTAGAAGCCATAAATGAAGAAAAACAGCTTAAATAAATATAATTTGAGATCCACTAGGCACAGAGACAGCCACTGGTAATCAACATTATCCAGAATCCTGTATATGAACTAGTATTTTTGTAAACTCTGAATCAGTCATGAAGTTAAATGTTTTGTTATTATTATTATATATTATTATTATATGTAAGAGTTACTAGGTAATGAATTGACTACTTCATTTGTTAATGATTTTTGGAATTTGGAATGTTTCCACATAAGGCTTTTTCATCCTGGTAAATTCATATTCCTTTTAAGCCTCAACATTTAAATAATTGAACTGATATGTTACATAATCTTTCATACAGCTATATTGTTTTTTCTTGATAACTTGGAGGTCATCTTTTATAAAAATCCTTTAAATACCATGCAGTGGCCTAGTAATGCCTTTAGGGGCTTTTAAATTGTAAAAAGTTAGGTTTAAGTACTGCTGTACTGTATCAATTCAGATTGCTATGCTCTTTGAGTTCATAAGGTCTGCTTTGTATAGTTTTCTGTCTACTATCTTTTATTCCTCAATATTGGATACATTTCTTTATGGTAACATCTGTGTTAAATAACTTTGCATTTTGCTATGTTATAAGGCACACTGTAGAGATACATACTTATAAATTAAAATAATATATATAGTCTAAGCTCTGCCAAAGGCTCTAATTTAAAAATGAATCAAGACACAGGCATGTAAGATAAATATTACAATTTAAGCTTTTTTTTTTTTTTTAAATTTGAGAGTGAGAGCATGTATGAGTTTGGGGAGGGTCAGAGGGAGAGGGAGAAGCAGACTGCTTGCTAAGCAGGTTTTTAAGATTTTATTTCTTTATTTGAGAGAGAGCACAGAGGGAGAGTGCACCCAGGTAATGACACTCGGCCAAATGTACCACAGGGACATGAGGGCCTGGGAGGGGTCTGTAGTGAGTGAGTCCAGAATAAGAGGCCAGCAGAGGGGTGAAGGGAGAAGGAGCTCCAGAGGGATTCCAAAATCCACTTCTGACATGTTTGCTCTTGGCCAACCTGCTTGAATCCACCTTCTGACCTAACCCAACATTTCTTTTTTTTTTTTTTGAAGATTTTATTTATTTATTTGAAAGAGAGTGAGAGGGACAGCAAGCAGGGGAACAGGCAAAGAAAGCGGGGGAGCTGAAGCAGGCTCCCCACTGAGCAGGGAGCCCGATGTGGGTCTTGATCCCAGGATGCTGGGATCATGACCTGAACCAAAGGCAGATGTTTAACTGACTGAGTCACCCAGGGACCCCCAGTTTACAGAATATTATTGAATACATTATTCTTGAAGACTTTCTTCTTGAATTTAGGCTGACTTGCTTTCTGGAAGACAATTGTTCAATAACAAAATCATCAATTCTTTCAGAATCGTTCAGATTTTCAGTGCCAGCATCGATGGCAGAAAGTTTTAAATCCAGAATTGATAAAGGGTCCCTGGACTAAAGAAGAAGATCAGAGGGTAATGTGTTCATATTCTTTATTCTGACTGTGTAGGTGGACTGGCTTTTTTTTTTCTTCCTAATACATTGTTTTGTCACAAAGAATATGTTTAAATCACGTTGATTTTGTTCTTTGGGTCCTGCTTGTAGAAGAATTGAAAGTTGAGTGGCTTGAAATAAAGTTTTTCTGAATCACGTCAAAGCAAGTATAATATATATAGCTTTTTCTTTCTAAGAGTTTGGTTCACAGAAGGAAAAATGCCATCAGCTTACTCTTATTTAGAGTTTAAGTTAGCAACATTTAGGGTATAGCTTCTTGTTGAAAATAGAGTCAACATTTTTTAAACAATTTTTTATTTTTATTTTATCTGATAACATGATATGTAAGAAAGTCATTCTTAACTATCCCTCTTGACCTATAATGAGCCCCCAAATAAGAGAGAGAGCAGAGCATCGTGTTTCTAAAGAGTTGGATGACTTAAAAAACTAGGTAATTCCTTGTCTTATAAAAGTCTGAGAAGAATAAGGATGTTGCTGCCCTCCTCTAGGAATTGACCTTTAGTTCATGTTCTTTATTGCAGAAACATTAATGTAGTTGGGGAATTAGGGCATGTTTCCTACCCTGCCCCCACAACAATAAAAAACAACAACAAATTCATCAGGCTCAGAACTGATCTGGTTTAATTGATGGCCAGTGATAGGTTTTACAATGTGTGATCTGTATCCTTTTAGTGTGAGAAAGGAAGAAATGAAGATGGTAAATTTCTAGATCCTTCTTTCTTCCAAACTGATTTATTTGGCTTTCAGCTGAAGCTTTTTAAAAAAAAGATACAAAAGTAGAAAATCTATAAGTCTCAGCATCTTTACTGTTGTCTCAAGTTAATTTTCAATGAAAACAATTTAACTTACAACTTGCTTTAATTAGCACCTTATATTTTAGATAAGTTTGTATTTCTATACTTGGCAAATGATGAATGAGTATTAGAAAACTTGTTGTGGTTTGGATTTAATGCATTAAAAATAGTATTCTTGAGTTACGTTTTAAAATTCTGTCAAGGTAATAATTTTTTTAATTGAGGTATCATTGACATATAACACTATATTAGTTTCAAGTGTACCACATCATGATTTGCTATTTGTATATATTGCTAAATGATCACAACGATGAGTCTGGTTATTTGTCACCATTATAGCTGCAAAAAATTTTTTCTTGTGATGAAAATTATTAAGATCTCTTTAGCAGCTTTCAGATGTGCATTACGATATTGTTAACTATAGTCCCCACACTGTACATTACATCCCCATGAGTTATTTATTTTTTAAAAAGATAATGGTTTTTTAAACTTTGTTTTTCTGTTTCTTAGGTTATTGAATTAGTTCAGAAATATGGGCCAAAAAGATGGTCTTTAATTGCAAAACATTTGAAAGGAAGAATAGGCAAGCAGTGTAGAGAAAGATGGCATAATCATCTGAATCCTGAGGTAAAGAAATCTTCCTGGACAGAAGAGGAGGACAGGATCATCTATGAAGCACATAAGCGGTTGGGAAATCGTTGGGCAGAAATTGCCAAGCTACTTCCTGGAAGGTGCTTGTATAAGTGTATATACATTTCCCTGTACTTAAACTTGATCTTTATTAAGTTACTATTAAATATGTTTACAAGGATCCCCATGACTTTTATTTATAATTGAAATTTAGACAGGGAATCTTTGCATATATTTGTAATAAATTCTGTGTAAGGGATAGAATTACATTTTTAATATTTTATAGCAGTAATTTGTGCAGTAAAATAATTTCCATTAGATTATGTGAACAGTTAATATACTCCCCAGATTGTTTACATATCATTGCCAGTCAGACAGACCTTTTTTGTACAAACCTGGTTGGAACGGAATCTAAATGGAAGAGATTTCTTTCATATTGTATTCTATGCATAAGACCAGAGAATAGCAAATACATTGGCTGAAATAAGCTATGGCAGGTCATTAGAGAAAATTCAGTTCTTAATTATGGTATGATTCAAATCATGGGAGTAGTATATATATCCCTGTGGCTAAAATACAAAATTTCCCTAAGGGAAGGTGATATGCCCCTGTATACATTGCACTGGTTCAAATGTTTCCTGATTGTCTATAGTACAGTAGACCAGCAACCTTAGGAAAATCCATACCTCACTCGAAGGTATGCATTTTTTTTTATTGTTGTAGTCTCTGTATGGTACTTCATAAAATGCTTTTACCTATATACTTAATTTTCATATAGTAATGAAATATGCAAAGCAAACAATGCTGTCTTTTTTTGTGAGTAAGGAAATTAAAACATGTTTTTTACCAAACCAGGCTTAGGAAATTCTGATGTTTTCAGTCTTTTATATATCTTTTTACTGTCCACTGAAGCTAGCCTTAATATAAAGTGCCTTAACACTTTATGTATGTAGTTGATTTTCAGTAAATGTTCGTATATTTTATGGAGGATGGAATTTATACTACAAGTAACTGTAGGTTGAAGGTTTCCACTTTATAAAGGCAAGTTTAGTTAAAAAGGGAACCAGTGAACTCTTTCCAAGGTTTCCACTTTATAAAGGCAAGTTTAGTTAAAAAGGGAACCAGTGAACTCTTTCCAACATAGGTATTGTAGTGAAAAAATATTGGGATTCTCTAATTTGTGGTTTGTTTTTCTTGACCATGTTTGTTCCTGGCTTTTAGGCCTTTGCCCTCTCTATGTCTTTATATGGAATGCTCTTTTTTTCTCCTCTTGTATGGCAGGTTCATTCTTGTCATTCAGTCTTAGCTTCACTGTCACCTCACAGGCTTTCCTGGACCACCTATCAAATTACTCTAGTTACTCACTTTTCTTATCCTACTTTAATGATCTGCATTGTGCTGATGTTTTTCTTTGCTTTTTTCCAAGTGAAGTGTTTTGGACATGTAATATATTATTTTCAGGTGTACAACATGGTAATTTAACATTTATATACATTTTTAAGTGATCACCAAGCTAAATCTAGCTACCATCTGTCACCATACAAAATTGTTATGTATTATTAATTATATTCCTTATGCTGTACATTGTATCCCCATGTCTTACTTGTTTTATAGCTGGAAGTTTGTACTTTTATTTTTATTTACTTATTTTTTTTAAAGATTTTGTTTATTTATTAGAGAGAGAGAGAGATCACAAGTAGGCAGAGAGAGGCAGAGAGAGAGGAAGGGAAGCAGGCTCCCTGCTTGAGCAGAGAGCCCGATGTGGGGCTCGATCCCAGGACCCTGGGATCATGACCTGAGCCGAAGGCAGAGGCTTTAACCCACTGAGCCACCCAGGCGCCCCTGGAAGTTTGTACTTTTACTCTCCTTCCCCTATTCCCTGCTCTCCGCTCAAACCGCCCCCCCCGCCCGCCAGCAGCCGCCACCTTGTTTATGTATCCATGAGTCTATTTCTGTTCTGTTCTGTTTGTTTTGTTCTTTAGGTTCTACAGATAAGTGAAATTCTGTGGTATATATCTTTATCTGACTTTTTTCACTTAGCATAGTACCCTCTAGGTCCCTCCATGTCGTGAATGACAAGATTTCATTTTTTATGCCTGAGTAATATTCCATTGCATGCATACACTACATCTTCTTTTTCTGTTCATCTTTCAGTGGCCACTGAAAATCTTTGTTGAAGATTAATTGACTGTATAAACATGGGTTGATTCCATATCTTGGCTGTAAATAATGCTGCAGTGAACATGAGTGTGCATATATCTTTGTATTAGTGTTTTCATTTTTTTCAGATAAATTTCTAGAAATGGAATTACTGGATCATGTGGTAGTTTTACTTTTAATTTTTTGTGGAATCTTCATACTGTTTTCCATGGTGGCTGTATCTTTTTGCATTCCCATCAAGAGATCATGAGGGTTCTTTTTTTCCCACATCCCTGCCAACACTTGTTTTTTCTTGTCATTTTTGATAGTAGCTATTCTGACCTGCATAAGGTGATAGGTCATTGTGTTTTGTTTTGTTTTGTTTTGTTTATTTGACAGAGAGAGAGTACAAGTAGACAGAGTGGCACACAGAGGGAAAGGGAGAAGTAGGCTCTCTGCTGAGCAGGGAGCCTGATGTGGGGCTCAATCCCAGGACCCCTGAGATCATGACGTGAGCCAAAGGCAGCTGCTTAACTGACTGAGCCACCCCGGTGCCCTGGGTCATTGTGGTTTTGATTTGCATTTCCCTGATGATTAGTGAGCATCTTTTTAAGTCTGTTAGCCATTTGTATGCCTTCTTTGGAGAAATATCTGTTCATGTTCTCTCCCCATTTTTAAATTTTTTTTTTATATTGAGTTGTATGAGTTCTTAATGTATTTTGGATGTTAACCCCTATTGGTTATATCATTTGCAAATATCTCCTCTCATTCAGTAGGTTGCCTTTTTGTTTTATGGATGGTTTCCTTCACTGTGTAGAAGCTTTTTAGTTTGATGTAGTGCTTTTTGTTTTTGTTGCCCTTGTCTGACAGATTCAAGAAAAAACTATTTAGATCAATGTGCAAGAGCTACCTGCCTGTTTACTTTGAGTAGTTTTGTGGTCTCTGGTCTTATATTTAAGTATTTAATCTATTTTGAGTTTATTTTTATATATTATTTATGAAAGTTGTCCAGTTTCATCCTTTCATGTAGTCGTCCTGTTTTCCTAGCACCATTTATTGATAAGACTGTTTTTTTTCCCCATTGTATGGTCTTGCCTCATTTGTTGAAGATTAATTGACTGTATAAACATGGTTTTGTTTCTGGACTCTATTCTGTTCCTTTGACTTATGTTTCTGTTTTGTGTCATTACCATACTGTTTTGATTACTATCACTTTGTAGTGTTGTTTGAAATCTGGGAGTGAGATACTTCCAACTTTGTTCTTCTCTCTAAAGATTGCTTTGGTTAGTAGGGGCCTTTTGTGGTTCTGTACAAATTTTAGGATTATTTATTCTAGCTCTATGAAAATGCCATTTGTATTTTGGTAGGGATTGCATTGAATCTGTAGATTGCTTTTTGTAGTATGCACATTTTAATAATTCTTTCAGTCTATAAGCATAGTCTATCTTTCCATTTATTTGTGCCATCTTAAGTTTCTTTCATCAGTGTCTTACAGTTTTCAGAGTACAGATTTTTCACTTCCTTGATCAGTTTTTCCTAGGTATTATATTCTGTTTGATGCAACCGTGACTGGTATTGTTTTCTTAATTTCTTTTTGATAGTTTGTTATTAGTGTATTAGAAACACAACAGATTTCTCTGTACTGATTTTGCATTCTGCAACTTTACTGAATTCACTTATTAGTTCTAATTTTTTTTGGTGGATTCTTTACGTGGGTTTTTTTTTTTTTTATATATATATAGTCATGTCATCAGCAAATAGTGACAGTTTTACTTCTTTTCATATTTGGATGCCTTTTCTTTCTTTTTCTTGTTTGGTTGCCGTGGCTAGGACTTCCAAAACTATGTTGAATAAAAGTGGCAAGAATGGGCATACTTGTCTTATTCCTTATCTTAGAGGCAGAGCTTTCAGCTTTTCACCATAGACTTTGATGTTAGCTGTGCATTTGTCCTGTTTGGCTTTTATTATGTTGAGATATGTTTCCTCTGTTGTACCCACTTTGTTGAGAGTTTTTATCATAAATGGATATTGAATTTTATCACATACTTTTTCTGCATCTATTGAAATGATATGATTTTTATCCTTTATTTTGTTAATATGGTGTTGATTGATTTTGCAGATATTGAACCATCCTTGTATCCTTAGAATAAATCCCAGTTGGTTATGGTATATGATCTTTTTATGTATTGTTGAATTTAGTTTGCACTGATGTTTTTCTTCTTATTTAAATTTTTGTTTTTCTCTTCTTCTCTCCTTCCATGCTGCCACACTTTCAAATGTGAGCCTCATGAGAGCAGGGACTTTGTCATCATTGCTTTATCTCCAGTTTAGAACTGTGCCTTCCTGACAGTTTATTTTTGAATTGAGAAAGTATCTAGTTTCATTATTTGTAAGAATTTGGTTTAAGCATTTTGTACACTTTATACAGTGTTAAAATTTGTGGAATCCTTTTTTTCCTTTTTAAATTATACACTTTCATTTCTTAGGACTGATAATTCTATCAAAAATCATTGGAATTCTACCATGCGAAGAAAAGTGGAACAGGAGGGCTACTTACAAGATGGAATAAAATCAGAACGATCTTCATCGAAACTTCAACACAAACCTTGTGCGACTATGGACCATTTGCAAACCCAGAATCAGTTTTACATACCTGTTCAGGCACATATTTTTAATACCTTTATTATTTAAAAGATTTCTTTAGTTGTTATTTGGGAGGATGTTTGGTTTCTTAATACAACAGATACAACATATATTAAGGGGAATAGACAATTAAATTTCCAAACTGCAAAAAAAATTGCCATAACTAGCTGTTAAACCATTAGTGGAGGTTCATCTCTACTTATTTTGATTGATAAATATTTTGGAAACAGACTCATTAAAATGTTTCCCTTTTTTGGTAATTTTTATATTATCCAGTTAAGAAACTTAGTATTTACATTTCCTAATGCTACCATCCTTTGAATCTTCATTTATGATTCAAAGCTTATGGTCATCTGTGCTTTAACATCCATTGTAGTTTCCATTTAAAAAAATATTTTGTGTAATTGTAGTATTGCTTATCTCTAAGAGGTAAGTGTGCATAAAATGGTTTTAAGGAGAAAATAGTCAAAATCCATTCATCATTTTGGGAGGTATGGTAGATAATTAATTAGTTCTTTGATGGCACTCAACTTCGCTTTTCTCCCTAGTAACCAATCAACTAAGTGATGTCAGTCTTTGTTTAGACAGGTTCATTAGAGTAGAGATTTCCCAAGCTCCTGATAGGGGAAGTGCATTTTCTTCTCTGCAAGAAATTAGTTTAGGAGTTTTCATAAGGTTTGTTTTATATTTTTCTGTCTGCCTATCTGTCATACCATTTTTTGTGTTGAACAATTCTTGGTTTTTATCACATAAAATGTAAAGATTAAGTCAGGAATTAATAATAGTTTCTACCAAAAGATAAAATTTGAGTGTTAAAAATCTTGTGGTTAGTATGCACAGATTTGATTTGAATTTACCTCATTAAACGGACTTTATTTTTGGACATAAGTTTAAAAGAATCCTTTTAAAAAAGTAATGACATCTTAGTCTACAAATAGGAAAACATGTGAAGACAGTATAGTTAGTTACCTGCTGATACTCAGTACCTGAAGGTTTTTATTGTATGTTTCTTTACATTTTTCTTTAGAGTCCTAGATTTCAGCAGCATAAACTGAAACATTCTGCTTCTGTCTTAGAAAGGTTATTTAAATTTATTTTTTAACTCATAGAAACATAGTTTTAAAAATTATTTGGGGTCAAGGGAGTGTTTAACAGTCTCAATCAAAATACGTTGGAAAATAAGGATATTTCTTGTACTTTAAGAACTGTTTATTGTACTTTTATAATTCTTAAAAAATTTGTGCATTCATAATTCAACTCATTTAAGCTACTAAAAAATCATTCTAATTTTGACTTGAAAGGAAAAAATGGTGTGAAATACTGTCACAGACTTAAATGAAAAGATTGAGAAAAATAAGTTTCTAATTCATTGAAAGTTTAGTGATAACATACAAATCAGGTATTGTGAAAGTTAAGTTCTATATTAGTAGTATTTTGTGATTCTGCATCAGATAGTGATTTAGGTAGGCATTATGGAAAATAAACAATTTCTTATTATATTAGATTTTTAGGTTTTTAAAAATACCTTCTCATGCTTCTTTCTACCATTGCACACTAAATTTGCATGCAACCAAAATTCTTATTACAGATGCTTTGGAAAAGAAAGAAAATAATTCTTGGTCTGTTGTCAGAGTATTAAAAAGCACGAGTGATTCTGTTTTTCTAAGACAAGTGATAGAAGAATCCTCTGTTTTCATATCTTTTTACACAGAGATTGGCATGGGGTGGTGATAGGAGTAGGAGGTATGAATATTGAAAGACTTTCTTTAGTCACTGGCTTTGTGAGTGCTTCATATGGACCAAGCCCTTCCTCTGAAAGATAAGAACAATTACTTTGTCTTCTTCCAGAAATAGAGCAATCCTTCTAATAGCACAGTAAAAAAATAATTTGGTGGATTTTGTAGATAATAGACTGATTTGCTGATAAATATATGCCAAGTAATTCTTGTATTTCATCCAGGAGAAGATAGGTCTTTCCAAAGAGTTACTTTTCATTAATAGATTCTAAGAACAAAGATGTAGTTATTAGAAACTATTATATAAATGAATTTTCAAAGTTAACAGAGATACTTTATGAGTTTTTAATGCTGTTATTTTGTCAAGAGTTTTCATGCTTTACCTTAGATTTTAAAAAATTATATAGTGCTATATGTATGATACTAATATTTTAAATACTTTTTAGATCCCAGGCTATCAGTATGTGTCACCTGAAGGCAATTGTGTAGAACATGTTCAGACTTCTGCGTTTATTCAGGTAACTTTTTATTTATAACCAAAAAAAAAAGGAAAACACTTTCCAACATATATTTGAAAGTCTAATAGTCCTATTTCCTCATTCATAAAACTAGGACAAAAACAATACTATCTGTTCTGCTTATTTTGAATATTCTAACGCTAAAGGAGAAAGTTTATAAATGGGTTTGAGAAATATAAATGTACAAATGTTAGGTGGTTGACAACACCAGTAGGGTGGTCCTTTCATTTTTCCAGTGTAAAGCATTCAGGTTGTATTTTTCTTAAATTAGATAAATTGTGCATACATGTGATTTAATAAAACAGACTCCAGACATTAATTTCTAAATTAATATAGTTGATACAGTATACAGTTTTTTTTTCATGCATTTGAATTTCCTAATTCTGGGAGCATCTGGCTAGCTTAGTCGGTAGAGTATGTGGCTCTTGATCTTGGGCTCATGAGTTTGAACCCCATGTTGAGGGTAGAGATTACTTAAAAAAAAAAAAATAATAAAATAAATTTCCCAAATCTTTTCTGTTAAGTTGAAAATATTTAGATACCAGAGAGATTGTGATATTGAGCATTTGGTATTTAGTTGTATTAACCTTTATTAGAGAAAATAGATTTTATGTTGCATGGAAGATAAAAATTAGAGCAGTAATAATAATAATAATAATAATAATAAAACAGTTGTTTAAGTAGCATGTCTTTCTCTTTTATTTAACTTATTTTAGCCACCCTTCATTGATGAAGATCCTGATAAGGAAAAAAAAATAAAGGAACTTGAGTTGCTTCTTATGTCAGCTGAGAATGAAGTTAGAAGAAAGCGAGTTTCATCGGTAAGAAATAAGCTTAAGTGTTTAGATTTTGTTAGAATCCTTTATGTGCTTTTATAGTTTTCATTAGCATTGACTTTCATGTACTAATATACTATTCAGTATGACTTCAGATTTTAATGTGGATGAAAAACAGTTTTTCTATTTTGCAGTGTTGAGATTGCCCGATTTTGATATACAACACTTTAAACATATTGTACAGTGTTCTGTATTAAGATGCTTCTTGAGTTGTAAATGTCAAGCAGACTTAAAGTATGATCTTCAATATGTATATATATATTTGTGAAAATGATGTGTGGTTTAGAATAGACTTTGCTTTTTTTATGATTTTTGGCTCTTTTTATTTTAGACATTCCTGGTAATGATAGCTTTAATAGAAAAAAATGTTTGAAAAATAAAGAATTTAATAGATGTGTAGAGGTTTATGTGCTTCTAAATTGCTTTTATTCTGTCCTTGAGCATTTTTTCCTATTTGCTATATTATGAATACAAATTTGGTAAATTGGAAAAAAAATAACTTAAGAAATTATAGGGAAAGGGCACATTTAAATTTTATGTTTTTTTTTTTTTTTAAGATTTTATTTATTTATTTGACAGAGATCACAGGTAGGCAGAGAGGCAGGCAGAGAAGAAGGGAAGCAGGCTCCCTGCTGAGCAGAGAGCCCTATGCGGGGCTGGATCCCAGGACCCTGGGATCATGACCTGAGCCAAAGGCAGAGGCTTTAACCCACTGAGCCACCCAGCACTCCTCTTTAAAGAAATTTTTGTATGAATATTGGTTGATGGGAACAATTAAGAGTATTGAATTAGGATAAATGGTATTCATTCTAGCTAAGTTAGGCTATGTTAGATGAATTAAAAGAAAGAAAGTTTATACTTAAATGACAATTTTAAGTTTTTGCATTTAGGAAAAGGTTATTCTTGGTTTGAGAGTTAATGAAGGGACTGTCCATTCACAGTGACTGGGAACTAATGCAAAATTACTAAATAGAATAACTGAGTTCTTGAAGTAGTGTTACGAGGCAACTGGTGATGACTTTATACCATTTAAAAGTGTTAATAAAAACATTTGTTAACTGTAACAGACAAGATGCATGCCATAGGAAGCATAGTTTTTGTTTTGCAATTGCAAAAATCATGGACAAATAGGAAGACCTGAAGTGCATTTATTTTAAAATTAATTTTGATTTTATTAAGAAATAAACAGTTATGGTTGGAGAGTCCACATTTCTGGATAACTATATCATGTTTAAACCATTTTTAATTTTTTTGATAGTTTCTATCATTTTTAGGAATGACAGGAATGATAGGAAGATATAACTAGCTAAAAGATATGGCATTTGCTTTAAAATGAAGAAAGCTATTACTTTTTTTTTTTTTTAAAGTTTTTATTTATTTATTTGACAGAGATCACAAGCAGGCAGAGAGGCAGGCAGAGAGAGAGGAGGAAGCAGGCCCCCCGCTGAGCAGAGAGCCCGATGCGGGGCTCAATCCTAGGACTCTGAGATCATGACCTGAGCCGAAGGCAGCGGCTTAACCCACTGAGCCACCCAGGCGCCCCTTACTTTTTTTTTTTTTTTTTTTTAGAACTTATTTATCTAAAATCCACTCTTGTAAATATCTGGTTGGAGATTCTAGATTTTAGAGGGAAGTTGCTACACCCAGTGGAGTAGAGTCCATATACATATAAAGTATTCTTAAAAGTATTTGATAGTAATTATTGTCATTTTACTGAGTATCCATTATGTTCGACCATTATAGATGTGTTTTATGTATTCTCAGTAATCCTTATGTTAATTCTGCGGAGTAGGTAATTTGTTGTTAGAAATTTATATTCAGGTGAGTCTGAATGCAACTCTATGGTTTTTCCACTGGGCCTAGTCATCTTTTTGAATCTTTTTCCCACCTCCAAATTTAATTGAAATGCATATGGCTTGCAACCTATCTCCAGAAAGTGACTGTAAACTCAGAAGTTGTCTATGCTAATAAGAGTGCTTTAGTTTTTTTTATTTTGGAGAAACTTTGAAACAGGTGGAACTTATTTTACAACAATGTTGGAAATTTCTTTCACCTTACTTGAAACTTAACATTTTGCTATTGCGACTATCTAGCACATTCTAGTAATTTTTATTTTTAAAAATGATAGGGACCACTTATTGAGTATTTCCTATGGATAGGACAATGTGCTTTCTAAAATATGGTGGCTACTAGCCCCATTTAATTTTAAATGAAATTTAAAAATTCAGTTCCTCAGTTGCACTAGTCACATTTTGGTTGCTCTTATGGCTAGTGCCTCTCATAATGAGAAGTTTCAGATATAAGAACATTTTCAGCATCTCTGAGAGTTCTATTGGATAGAGCTATATACTTTACATATTTTTCCCAAGTTTTATTGAGATAGGACTTACAGCACTGTATGTTTAAGGTATACAGCATAATAAATTGACTTATATATATTGTGAAACGATGACCACAATTAAGTTTAGTTAACATCTGTCATCTAATATAGGTACAAAACAGAAAAAGAAAAGAAAAAGGGAAAAATCCTTTCTTCTTATAATGAGAACTCTTAGGATCCACTCTTAACAACTTTTGAATTACATATTGTTTCTTAACCATGACGCTTCAAGGTCTCCTTTCTTGCTTTTTATTATGAGACACTAGGAAGCTAAGCTCAAAAGATAAGTAAATTGCCTACTGTACCTCTTCAGAGAGATAAAAATGACACAGTCTCTGACTTCAAAGGATTTACTCTGCAATGAGGACACAGACAAGAAATAGGAAGTAGTGTGAGAAAATAAGTCACAAAGTCTTATGGGGGCACATAAGAGAGTTATCCAAGGTTTAGGTAGTCAGAGAAGGGTTCCTAGAAGAAATCCTATTTGAGTTCATTCTTGAAAGGCAATGATTATATTCTAGCAAAGTAGATGAACTGGACATTATTGTAAGTGGAAAGGTAAAAGTGGATGATGAGATGGACCACTTTCCAATATTTGAAGTGTATCTTAAATGAAGAATAAAAGTTTTCCCTGGTCAGTGTTGGAGAGCATTTTAGATAAAGGGAGCAGTAGTATGTGCAAAGGCATTTTAGGATCGAAGAGTAACCCCTGTGGGAATTGCAACAACAATAGTTGGGTATTTGGTATTCCCTGAAAGGAGGACGAATGAGTGAAAATGTTGGGAGATGAAGGGTAAAAGGTAGAGAGAGACCATATTCTGGGAGCTTGAACTTTATGTTATATACATGTGCTAGTTTTATCTTACCATGACTTTATAAATTAAAAACAATTTAGTTAGAAAAAAGAAATAGAGACAAGATATTTAATGAAAAAATAGTTTACCTCCATTTTGAGGAAAGACAATGTATTTGCTATTATATTTTTTAGCTGAAATGTTGTGAAGTATGTTATCCTAGAAAAAACTCTTACTTAAAAGCCAAATTTATGCCTAGGTTAAGAATGACAAATAATACTCACATTTCTTTTGTACTTTTAGCAACCTGGAAGCTTTTCTAGCTGGTCTGGTAGTTTCCTCATGGATGATAGCATGTCTAATACTCTAAATAGCCTGGAGGAGCACACTAGTGAGTTTTACAGTATGGATGAAAATCAAACTCTGTCTGCTCAGCAGAATTCACCCACAAAGTTCCTGGCCGTAGAGGCAAATGCTGTGCTGTCCTCTCTACAGACCATCCCAGAATTTGCAGAGACTCTAGAACTTATTGAATCTGTAAGTTTGAAATTGTGAGATTATCAAAAGCTCAATTTTAGTTACATGGTTTCATGTTCAGAAACTTAGTTTAAGGGACACTGACCAGTTTTATTTTAAGCATTCCTTTTATGTCATGCTTAATTTTATTCTGATTTTTTGCAATGGCTTTTGGGAAAAACAAAAAACTTTATATCTATCTCAGTATGTACTTGGTCTAAAATTTTTAAAAAATAAAATTTAATAATTTTTTATTATACAAGTTGTACAAATATATTAGAGAGAGTTGGAAATTAGACAAAACTGTAAAGAAGAAAAATCCTCCAGAAGCCCAGAGTTAATAATTTGAAGTATTTTCTTTCAGGCTGTGTATTATACATATAAAATATATATATGTGCATGTATTTTTAAACCAAAAGATACTTTTATGTATTATTTGTGGATTTTTTTTCTACATTATATCATAAACATGTATTTGGTTTCTTAACTGTTTTTCAAACTTCAATTTTAATGACTTCATACTCTTCTACATATGAATGTAACAAAATTTATTTACTCAGTGTACTATTATTGAACATTTAGATGGTATCCAGTCTTTCAGTATTAAAAATTACAGAATATATTATATAAACCCTTGTGTAAAATCATGATTATTTCCTTAGGTTAGATTGAATTTCTGGATCCAAATGTATGACCATTTTGGAGATGTTCCATACACATTACCAAATTATATCAAATTTGATAGTATTTTTCTGATGTGGAATAGAGTGAAGCTTTATGAACTATATTCTTTGATAATAACATAAAATAATTTGTTCTTTTTACTTAAGATACTTTGACAGTAAGCTGCAGCTATTGAATTAGATGAAATATTATTTCAGAATGTTCCAAATTGGACTTGTAGTAAAATCATAATCTGTTCCTCTCAAATAGTTTTTCTTTAAAAAAAAAAAAAAGTTGAGTAAGAAAAGAAAAAAACGAGTAGTTAACTTTGTAAAAGTCGTCTTTCTATGTTCAAAATCACATTTAACTAGTTTAAAGCATTAGCTTTAGTTAAGGATTTATTTTATTGCAGGATCCTGTAGCATGGAGTGATGTTACCAGTTTTGATCTTTCTGATACTGCTGCTTCTCCTGTCAAGTCCACCCCAGTCAAACTAATGAGAATTCAACACAACGAAGGAGCCATGGAATGTCAATTTAATGTCAGCCTTGTACTTGAAGGGAAAAAAAACAGTTGTAATGGTGCAGACAGTGAGGCTGTTCCTGTAACATCCCCAAATGTGGCCAAGTTTAGCACTCCACCAACCATTCTCAGAAAGAAGAGAAGAATGCGAGTGGGTCAGTCCCCCAGCAGCGAACATAGCGATGGCTCTTTCACTGATGGCGGTAATACAGCACTAAAACACACACCGGTGAAAACACTACCATTTTCTCCTTCACAGGTAGTGGGTTGTTTTTGTTTGTTTCCAAATGTTGGTGAGCTCAACTACATTAGGTCCTTAATATCCTTACTAGCAGTTTGTTGCTTTGATAACACATAAAAATGGATAAGGTATTTAAATGTATACATGAGAGTGCTAAGCTCTGGTAGATCAGAAGCTATCTCATAAGGTGTAGTAGTTATGTTATAGTATCTTAAAATTTTTAGAGCTAAAAGGGATATTTTAGATAAGTAGTTGTACATATTTATAGGACTCATCAGGAAATAAGCCCAGAAAGGTAAAATGGTTTGCCCACAGTTATCTAATGTCAGAGTTGAGACTGAGATCCAGTTTCCCGATTAACTGTTCAACAGATATCAGGTATACATCCATAGACAACTGCTCACTGTAAGAATTTCATGTGTCTGAAGGTTTTCTAAGGATGTCAGGAACAGATACCCACTTTCTCTTGGAGTTATATCCACCCACTTTCTCTTGGAGTTATATCCTTGGGCAGTAGATATTTACAAGAGATACAAGGCAAACTATATCTGTTATTTTATAATACTATTTTTCTTAATGAATACTGTGTTCCAGGTTGTATGCCAAACACTCTTCTTATAGCATCTCAGTTAATCCTCTTCCAAAACACCTCGAGTTAGGTGGAACAACTTTGGAAGTTAATTTGTCCACAGTCCGTTAGTAAGAGAAGGAAGCTGATGTTTGCTGAAAGTGTCTTGGTAGAGGTTAAATAGTTTTATGGAAAAAGAAGAAAATTTAATGGTCAAATAAACTTGGAAGATGCTGGGATGTTATTGGAGATGTCCTTTGATGCTAGGAAGTTGGAGAATCTGACTGTACATAAACACTTGTTCTCTGAAAATTATTTACCCTGTGCTTCAGGGGATGCCATTTACACAGACTACAGTTTGAATAGTTGCATTTTCTGATACCACGCCAGCTCTCAGAGTTACAGAGCATCTGAGGAAGGTGAAACTGGGTTGGGCACACTAGTAATTTTCTATTTTTGGAGTTTGTAACACTAGCAATTTTTGTTGAAATATAAATCCTAAGGGGAAAGTAGCGGAGAAGGTTGAGGCATGATAGTAAAGACCTTATATCCCAGAGTAAAGAGCTTGAATTTTATCCTATAAGTGATGGACACCATGGCAGGGTTTTGAGAGCATTTGACTACTAATTTTATGGCTAAGTGTATTATAAATCTTAGGAGCTGGAAGTGTTAGAGCTAGGATTCATTCCAGTTACAAGTAGCTTTAACGTGGTAGGCCTGGGTAGCTCAGAGGGTTAAGCCTCTGCCTTCGGCTCAGGTCATTGTCTCAGGGTCCTGGGATCAGCCAAGCATCAGGCTCTCTGCTCGGTGGGGAGCCTGCTTCCCCCTCTCTCTCTGCCTGCCTCTCTGCCTACTTGTGATCCCTCTCGCTCTTTCAGATAAATAAGTAAACAAAAACATAAACAAAAAAACCCCCAAGTAGCCTTAACGTAATTTCCACTTCTTCCTACCACTGTTTCTATTCCATTGGCTACAAAAGTCAATTGATATTTCATGATTATATGTAAGTTAAGATTCAATGAGTAAATTGTGTCCTTTAGAAAATGGATTCTTGGGACGCCTGGGTGGCTCAGTTGGTTGGACGACTGCCTTCGGCTCAGGTCATGATCCTGGAGTCACGGGATCGAGTCCCGCATCGGGCTCCCAGCTCCACGGGGAGTCTGCTTCTCTCTCTGACCTTCTCCTCGCTCATGCTCTCTCTCTCAAATAAATAAACAAAATCTTAAAAAAAAAAAAAAAAAAAAAAAAAAAAA